TGTTGTTTGCTTGATATATTTTTTTCCATCCTTTGAGTTTTAGCTTGTCTGTGTCTTTAAGTCTAAGGTGTGTCTCTTGTAGGCAGCATATAGACAGATCGTGTTTTTTTATCCAATCTGCCACTCTCTGTCTCTTTCTTGGTGCATTTAGTCCATTTACATTCAGCATAATTATTGATAGGTATGAGTTTAGTGCCGTCATTTTGATGTCTTGTTTTTGTGTGTTCATAGTTTCTTTGTTCTGCTTAATTTTCTGTGCTGAGTCGTTTTTCTTCATGTGTTTTCATCTTTTTCATTGTTGTTGATTTTGTGTTTGCTGAGTGTTTATATTTTTCTAGTGTTTTATTTTGACTTGTAAGATTGTTAGTTTCCTTTGTGGTTACCTTAATATTTACCCCTATTTTTCTAAGTTGATACCAGTCTTTTCTTTTTTATTGCCTTGACTTCCTCTCCATATGAAAAATCTGTGTCTACTTTAAGTCCCTCTTTTTTGTTTTAATGTTGTCATTTTTTACGTATTGATATCTATTTCCCTATTTTCAGTGTTTTAGCTTTGATGTATTTTTGTGACTTCCCTATATGAGTCGATATCTGGTTGCTTTGTCCTGTGTTCTAGTCTTGCGTTGTTATCTGACTTTACTGATTTTCTAACTGGAGGACTCCATTTAGTATTTCTTGTGATTTTGGTTTGGTTTTTGCAAATTCCGTAAACTTCTGTTTATCTGGAAATGCCCTAATTTCACCATCATATTTGAGAGACAGTTTTGCTGGATATATAATTCTTGGCTAGCAATTTTTTTCCTTCAAGGCTGTATATGTGTCATCCCATTGCCTTCTTGCCTCCATGGTTTCTGCTGAGTAGTCTTAGCTTATTGTAATTGACTCCCCTTTTATCCCTAGCCGCTCTTAAAATTCTCTTTATCTTTGGTTTTGGCAAGTTTGATTATAATATGTGGTGACTTTCTTTTGGCATCTACCTCATGTGGGGTTCAATGAGCATCTTGGATAGATATCTTCTTATCTTTCCTGGTATCAGGGAAGTTTTCTGTCAACAAATCTTCAACAGTTTTCTCTGTATATTCTGTTATCCCCCCGTTCCAGTACTCCAATCACTCACAGGTTATTTCTCTTGATAGAGTCCCACATAACTCTTAAGAGTTTCTTCATTCTTTTTAATTCTGTTATCTGATTTTTCCTCAAATAAGTTGTTGTCAAATACTTTATCTTCAGTGTCAGTAATTCTGACTTCTACTGCCTCAATTCTGTTCCTATGACTTTCTATTGAATTGTGTAATTCTGAAATTTTATTGTTAATCTTCTAGATTTCTGATTGCTGTCTCTCTATGGATCCTTGCAGCCTGTTAAATTTATCATTATGCTCTTGAATAACTTTTTTTAAGTTCTGCTGCTGCTTTGTCTGTGTGTTCTTTGGATTTCTCTCCGTTTTGTTGAATTTCCTTTCTTATTTCTAGAAGAGTTCTGTGTATTAATCTTTTGTATTCTGCTTCTGGTAATTCCAGAAAATTCTCTTCCTCCAGAAAATTTATTGATTCTTTATTTCGGGAGCTTGCTGAAGCCATCATGGACTGCCTCTTTATGTGATTTGATATTGACTATTGTCTCTGAGCCATCAATAAGTTATTATAATTTTATTTTATGTTTGTTTAGTGTGTCCTAGCTTCTTGTTTTGTTTTGTTTTGATGTGCCCAAATAGGACACTCATGTGCGCTGGTTTGTTTATTGGCACCTTTGAAGCTCTAACGTCCTATTACCAGGTAGTTAGGTCTGTAACTAAGTATGC